CAATTTTTGATAACTTTGAAAAATCATTATAAGCAAATGAAAAAACTTTCTTAAACTTTTACAATGGAATCTTGTTCATTATTTATATAATAAGACCTCCTAAAAGGAAAAAAATTTATAGACTCACTTTTTAAACTTTTGTAATAGATTTTTTGAAAACTCAAGTCTACGAAAAATTAGTTAATTAACAATTAAATAACTTAAACAAAAATCAAGCCAAAAATTTTTTTTCTTACGGGACTATATTCCTTCAAGTGTCTAGTTGACACCATAATTTACTCAGATTTTTAAATTAATATTGAATGTTATAAAATCATTATTTTGTGTTGAATACTTTGCTTGGCGGTAATGCCTAGGCACCGAAACGGCCGCATGGAGCCCAACTTTCAACGTTAAATTAAAATCATAAATAATAGAGCTATTACTCCAGGAGTAAAGACTTATTTTAATAAAATTTTCTCCTCTTTTAGGATCTTTTTTCAAATTTCAGACATCTTGAATATTTTCGAAGATATAGCTACAAAACGAAGACACCCTTTTTTTCTCTTTGTTTTTTGTTTATAACAAATTAAATTTTTAACAGCGGATAAATTAAGAATACCTCTTTCTCAGAATTAAATTCTGAATCCAATGCACCAATCACCATATTTTTAAGAGCAGGCTAACGATTTTTCGCAGAACTCACTTCTTGACTATAGACTATGTCTACTGTCATAAAAAAATGTTTTTGTTGAAATTTGTCATCTCATTTAGGGTAAAAACCCAATCGATGCTTATGTACCAGTACATGATCACACCATGTATTTGTATATCTATATTTGTGAATACTGGTACATGATCATCTATTGGGGCTTATACCTTAATACTCAAATTGCACAAAAGATAAGATACAAGAAATTTAAGCCGAGATAGTTGCTTAACTTTGAGAGAATAAGAGTAAAGTACTACTCAAATGCTTCGCGTTGAGATGTGCAAAAGTAACATGGCCCCTAGAGTAACAGAAAAAAAAAAGAAGAAACAGTTATTGTTATTAAAATTCATTTGATGGTTATTTAAATTTTGCGGAATAAAAAAGAGATTATGTCATCTCTACAGGTTAATAGATTATACATGATATCTTAGAAAAAGAAAATAAATTTTTATTTCATGTCCTTATGACATCCGACGTGGATCGCGAGAATTTTTCTTTTGAGGATTCAACGTATTTTCGCATGAAACATGCAGAAATAAAAAAAAAAATTTTCTCCCAATTAAAATATTTGTTGTAATGTACCAACTCTAGTCGAAAATCATGAAGTCCAGTTGATTCATGTTTATAATAAAATTAGCGTAAAGATGAATTGTGTGTATTATTATAAATTTGGGAAGCATCCTCTTTCTAATTATGCATGGTAAACCCACCATTAATAAATTTTAAGTCCTGTCATAAACGGTCAAATTTTTCCAAAATGAAGATTTTTTAATTTTAAAAAGTACTTATAGTCTAGTCAACATGTGCCTTTTTGGTCAGCTTTTTTCAGCAGTCTCCGAAAATTATGATTCAGGTATCATTCGATTCGGAATGGTATCTAGATTATTTTTGAAATAAATGAAGTTCCACTTGCAAAAATTACAAAAGTTATTAACAATTAACTTAAAAAAAGGTGGAGTTTTTTTTTGCAAATATCTTAAGAACTAATAAAGGTTTAAAAAATTTTAAAAAAGATTAAAAAAGAAGAGGAAATTTCCTGAAAAGACGTTCCGACTCCCGAAACTGTAGGACCAATATTTATAATTTTCCCAGAGGGACGAAAACGGATGCTCTGGCTTGCGTAAGCCACACTTATTTGGACACTCATCAACAAAAATTATTTTAACATGTTGAATATAAAATTGAAGAAATAGAAAAATTCAGGGTCTTACTGGATAGACAAATGAACCATATTTCGCCTGAAAAAAATTTTGATTACAATTTTCAATTAGTTATGCAATAGTTAATTAATAATTTTTTTCTGCTTGAACATGAACATTGCAACTGTAATAATTGTTAAACTATAAATTTGAGATTTTTTTCCTCTCTTGAAACAATTCTTTGAAGGCTTAAAAAAAAATTCCCGTTGGAAAAATTGAAAAATTTTTATTTTTCAGTTTTTTATTAATAAATTTCGTTGTTTCGAAATTAAAAACTTTAATTAATCGTCGAAAAAAAATTTTTTTTTTTTAAATATTATTGATCCATTTTTATGTAGTCAAAAGCTGCATAGAAATAACTTTTTTTTAATTTTCATCTACTATTGTTTAAAAAATTATTATAAACAAATGCGTTGTTTATAGGATAATTGAAATTTTTTTTTTATGGAATTTTTATCTTTGAAACAAATAATGATTTAAAAAAAAAAAATTATTACCTAAAATAATTTTTTTATTGCTTAAAAACGCATTTGTTCATTACGTTCAACGCTTAAATTATTTTTATTTAAAATTATTATAAATGATAAAAATGAACAATTATAATTAAGTTTTTCTTGGTTTTTATTTTTTTTTCAATTTATATTTAAAATTTTTCAATCGCTTTAAAATATGAGATATTCAAATATTTTTAAAAATTTAGATCATTTATAATTTGAATTCTCGAGAAACACAGAAAAAAATAGAAGTTAGCAGTCGATATAGAAGAATGTTTCAAAATTGGTAAAAAATTTTTTCTGTTCGGTCTTTCGGATTGAATCGAATTGAAACGAATAGAAAAACTGGTGTTTCACAAGTTGGATTGAATCGAATACAGTTGAATAGGAGGTTCTATTCGATTCTATTCGATCCCGATTGTTGGGATTATATCTGGTCAGATCTTTTTATATCTAATCAGATATGGGATTCGAGACATAATCAGATCTAGTCATATCTGATCAGATCTAAACAGATATAACTATATCTGAGTGGAAAAATACATCAGATATGGTCAGATCTAAACAGATATAACTATATCTGGGTTGAAAAATACATCAGATATAAAAAGATTTTATTATATCTGGCCAGATTTAACTCTATTTGTTAACTATTAATAAATACTTATAAATATTGGCAGGGTGCGAAGTATATGGTGGGGAGGGCTGGCGCTGACTACCACTTTTACGTGTAAATCTTATGGGAAGAGCATGATTTAAAGCTAATGGCGACCACCGGAACTAAATTACTCCGTTTGATTTAACATAGAAAATGCATGAAAAATGAGGGCAGCACCATCGTGCACCTGGCCAATACTTTCCTCCCAAATAAATATTTATTGAATGTTAAAAAATATTTATTAGAATTTAACCCTTTTTAGAGTCTGACCTTGAAATCCTACTCTTGGGTCTTACTGTGGATTTGCGCTCTCCCCACTACTCTTCACGCGTAGACGTTTCAAGATCCTCTGACTCTAAAGGGTTAATAAATGAAATAATTGTCTTTGAATAGATTAATTTGTTAATAGTTAATAAATCTTTCTATCAGCGTATATTGATAATTAATAATTTGCAAATTTGATAAAAACTTTGTTCATTACGCATCGATCATGGACACGATTCACATTACACATAGTTAGGGGCTGTTCATAAATTACGTAAGCATAATTTGAAGCATTTTACAACCGCCCTCCCCTTATAGAGTTGTTTTCTCTAAAATTTCATTCAATAAATATTAATAAATTCAAAAAGTTATATTTTACTATTTAAATTTAAGACTTGGAATTAAAATTTATTCTAGTTTAGTTTTTCATCAATGTATTACATTCGGAATTTCAAATGATACATTTAAGATTATTCATTCGTGACTATATTTTGGTTAAGAAGTGATAGAATTAATAAAAAAAAAAAACTCAATGGACTTAAGACTTTGTGTTTCTAAGAACTTAACAATAAAAAAAAATAATTTTGAGTTCTGATGAACTCTACCTTACATGCAATAAACACGATGTGTTCGTAAATCGATTTCGTTACATATATGTTTACGCTTTTAGTGCCGTATAGTTCTATGGTATTTCACCGACCATGAACTTATTAACATAATTCGACAGCAAACTATCATAGAAAGCCCAAATGTAAATCACCTAGTAAAATACTGCAAACAACGTATCAATGTACTCAAAGTTTTATAAGATCAAAAGACTGAGGTGCGGACCAAAAAATTTTAATGAGCACATACAGAGCCATCATCAGATCAAAAATAGAATATGGAATATCAGTATACAATTCAGCTGAAAAGAATACTTTCGAGCCATTCAAGTTCATCCAGACAACATCAATCAAACTGGCCATAGGCGTCTTCCGCAGCAGCCCTATAGGTTTAGTATTCCAGCAGAGAGCCATGATCTACTCATCGAATTAAGAAACCTGTTCTAATCCCTCAGATACATGGCATCCATCAGTATATGCTACAAAAACGATACACCTTACACACTGTCAAAGAGCATGTGTTGTGATTTACAATGACCACAACCAACTTTTTAAATTTCCCAAATCATTCTTATCAATCTTCTCATGTGAAGTATATCCAATAGAGAAAGCCATCGAGTTAACTATCAACCGCAAATTAGATAAAGTGCTAATTTTAACTAACTCCAAATCAGTCCTCGATGACCTAAACAACAACATCAGCAGTGACACCAGAATTCAAACTATCCAACAAAAATTATATAACCAAGCCGAGCAAGGGGATCATATTATAGTATTCGCATGAATACTATTATATCAGCAAATTCCCGGAAATAAGAGAGCCGATGCAGCTGCCAAGAGAGCTCTTCTAGAAGGTCAGGATCAAACTAGTGGCCCAGTGTCGACAGACAACTTCAAAAAAACTATCGATCAATACAGATGAGCATTATAGAATAGTATCTGGTGCTCGACACAGTTCATACTCCAAGATGTGAAACCTTTCTGTGAATAATTGTAAATACATCAAATAAAGTCCACCGGTAATATGTACCGTAGTAAAAAAAGATTCACATGGAAAGCAAAAATTAATAGAAAATTTTCACAGTGTGGCTACTGTGGAAGCTGGCTAATGTTGAATTGTACAATAATAATGAGATACGTTGCAATAGTACCAGTGATCTGAAAAATAATTGATTTCGTTAAGAAATTAACTAGAATATAGTCAGCTGAGTTGGAAATTAATTTACTTACAATAGCCAGAAGACTTCGATCTAGCGGTACAATATCACAAGCAGTGAATTTGATCCGTATATGAAGAAGATGATTTACAAACAGTACTAGCTGTAATTGAAGCAGGTTTTATAAACTCAGGTTCGCAATTTTTTTAAGAACACAAAAATATCTACTTACTTCTCGTTTCATTTCTTCATCCATCAAATACCGATCTTTGAGTTGGTTTATAATTTTGTAGACTTTGATATTCTTAAAGTATAATTAAAAATTAAATATTTTGCTTTTTCAGTGAAAAAATTAAAGTAGAAATCAAATCAATATACCTGTTTCATAACTTCTGTAACTTCGCTAACCAACAACATGATTAAGAAAATATTCTGCATTGTAAACAGTCCATCTTCCCATATTCGATCATGACTATTGTTTGGATCAAGTGTCGCCAAAATTATGTTATAAAGCACGAATGTATTTTTCGCACATAACAAGAAAATGACCATTAATATCGGCAGTCCATAAAAGTTTCCAATATCTTGGCATATCTCACCCAATTTCAAGTAAACAACTTTAATCGTCCCAATATCGGCACGAGTCAATTCATTTGAATGATATATTTTGCTTTTGAAAGTACCTAGTTTTAAAATAACAGCATTGATTCCTTTCAGTCTCTCTTTTATCATTTTCAGATACGCCGCATATTGTACTATCATCAAACTCGCAACCGTATAAGCTATACTATTTGAAACTATTATTTTTACTGTCAAATATGTCGTTATTCGTATGACCAAAAGGCACGCCGTAATTACAAAATTGAACCCGAATATCAAACAGTCTCTGCTATTGATTTTAAATGTATAATCTGCACAATTATTCAATTTTTTATCCACAATTTTGAATCGATTATTTGCAGTAATTAGCAATTTTTGTCTAATAAGATAAATAAGTACAATTAAACTTGTAATTACTATAACAATCAATTGAATGTGTTTCGATATTGAAGAGACTGTTGATGCTGAATCGTAGAGGCTTGTCGAATTATTAAAAGCAATGTAAATGGACAATGAAGATATAGCAATAAAAAACACAATGTTATAAAATGTTCCAGCGGAAGAGAAAGTTAATTTTAAAATTCGACTTTTGTTGACCGGCTTTTGTCGGAACAATCCGGATGTTTCCATTTTCCACGGCGACAATCCAAACATTTTGAAAAAAACATATCGGATAAATATGAAATATTGATACCACATTGAGCTATTTTGATTTTTAATTTTTTCTACTTGCAAGTTTGAACTTATTGGTTGATATTTTAAACAACTTCACTTGACGGTCTTACAATTGTGACTAATGAACATTACGATGTTTATGATGATTGCAATTAATTAGGTTGTTATTTTTCCATAGTTCGATTTGTAAAAGCTAGAAAAGGACAGATCTATTATCTGCTTTTCAATATTTAATTATTTCATGACATTGTATGAAACATGGAGATGATCGATGAGATTAAATTTCAAATTCAATATTCTGATAATTTCAGTTTTAGCGCATTCTAATTTCAAAACAAACTAATTATCGACAGCTTGAGTATTATAAATTGAAAACATATGAAAATTCTTAAAATTTAGTAATTACTGCTTAAGTTATAATTGAAAAGTTAATTACATAATTACTAATCGAAACAACCTAGCGTGTTAACTGGACAAAGTTGCAGTTACAACACCTCTATAACATTTTATAATTATTTAGGTTTTAGTTTGTTGCGTGATTTCTTCTATAGAGTGCAAAGATAATCTGACTCATTAGATATGTTAATTATCAAAACGTGAGATAAGGATCTAATGAAATTTTTAGACTTGACATAGAAAAATGTTTTTTATGAATGATATTCTTAATTTCATTAATAATTAGTAGGGTGACAATGAACAATTTTGTTAATTGTCATATTTTTTATAAAAAACATACCCATATGATAAATAGTTTGTGCGATTTCTTTCCTTTTCACTTGCTAGTATTGCCTATCTCTTATTCGCTTTTACTGATGGTTATTCTTGTTTAACAAGCAAGTTTATTGATAATTTATAAAAAGTACACCGTCAGGAGTTTGCAAATTCTTTTGGGTTATTCTAAGTATATTATTATAACAGATATCAGGTTTTGAAAATGATCGTAAGATCCTTCTTCATATAACCTGCATTGAAAATGCGAGTTTCAATGCCTGTTGAGCCAACCGCAATTTTATTTTAATTAAAAAAAAAAATCAACTCTAATAAATTAATAAATATAATTTATGAACTATAAATTTTAAGATAATTGGTTTTTTTTTTTTTGAGAACATTTTGTTTTTTTAATTAGAATAAAATTGTAAATATGCCACAACTAAGCCAGGTTCAATAACTGGATTTTTTACCTTACTTTACGATATCATTAATTATGAAGCGACCGTGAAATTTTCATTTCTTAATAAATTCTTCAATTCATTCAGGATTATTTTAAAAAAAGGACTATGCGGTTTTCCACAAAGTTTTGTTTTCTGTAAAAATTCTCAGTAAAATTTCATATTACAAATTTTTATTACAACCAAAAAAATATAATAGTTTATAGATATTGCAAATTGTGTATAAGTTAATTCATTATGTAAATAATATATTTTTATGAAAATAAATCTTTTGGCATGATCGAAGAAATTTATCATTCAATAAACATTTTTTAAATATTAGATTTACAAGCAGTGTTTAATTTCTTAAATGCTGATATTTAATGACGCGTTTTTCAACGTCAAAACTTTTTTTAATCTAAGGGTACCCTTGTGGGAGTTCCTCCCAAATTTCTTCATCAATCCCTACAAAAATATATTATATCAGTATTATTTTAATAATTATAACTTTTTTTATTTTAATTATATCATAGGGGAAAAAATAGTTTACCGTGGACCGCCATCCATCCCAGCGGCATATGCAAAGAATACAATGCTCCTTTAGCAAATCTTTTTTTATTAATCTTTTCAGGAGATTCTCTAATTTGATAAGTTGAAAGCTCAGGACTCATTTCTATAAATAATTATCTATTCATGTATCATGATGATAAATATTGTAACTACAATAAACTAGTGAAGAAAAAAACATTTTTACCTCTATCAAAAAAATTCCTCGTTGATGGATTAGGCTGGGCACGACTATAATTCTTCGGATGACTTTGTCCTGAAAAAAAGAGCAATATAAATTTATTTTTTCATAATTTTGGTTGCGCTGTGCTAAAAAATTGAAATTCGTACTCATAAGTTCAATCTCAGAGGATGTTTCTCTTGATAGAGTCGTATAGAGTGGAGGAACTTCTTGTGAAGAACTCTGCTCCTCATCATGCTCTTGATCCCCTGAAAAGGATTGTATCAAGGATTTTTAAATAAGAGAAAAAACTCTATTCAGCCACACCCAAAATGGAAAGATAGATTTTTCAATTTTGATACATAGTAATAGTTGAAATTTTTGGAACGGTATATAATTTATAAACTCCAGGGAAATTGTATATCGATACTGCCATCCTAATACGTCGTATCCCATAAAATTTGACATATTGAATTTTTTTGAAAAATAGAATCATAATAATATTATACAAGTCATATTAAAGATTCAAAGGTCGAATAGTTTAATAACTATTTTTAAATAATTTTTTTCATCCGTTGAATCTCACTTAATCAATATTAAAAATGAACTGTTTTTACCGTCTGCTATAAAATTTTCTAAAAGTGGGATACGACGTATTAGAACGGCAGTATCGATATTCAAAAGTGAAATTTTTATTTCATTTTATGTGCTACTATCATGCAATGCGGAATTATCGATTCAGTCACCTATGTAGATATTATTTAAATTAAAGATTTTTTAGTCTGAAAAAAAAGTTTTTCAATCAAAAAAAATTTTGAAAAAAAAAAACTGCTTTTTTTCAAGTTTTGCTGTACCTAACTTTTTCAAAATTTAATTTATTAGGAAGTTTTATATTTATTTTTAAATGTGCTTTTTGAAAAGAAATATAAAAAAATTATTTAGACCTATCTTCATCGTTAACTTTTAATAGATTTTTGAAAAAAATCTAAAGTTTCTCGATGATCACTTTTTTAAGTTTTTTTTTAATTATATTAAATTTTGACATTTTCTGAAAATCCTCAAATTTTTTCAGAGTAGTATTTTTCGATTGCTATTTTATTTGTTTCAATTGAAAAAATATTTTTTTTCAATTGAAAAAATATTTTTTTTCAATTGAAAAAGTAATTTTTTTTTTAATTTTGTCTCGAGGTAAAAGCCCCTATTATTGACACCCTTTTTAATATTATTATTTAATTATTAAAATCTGTTAATAATCACAATTATTGATATTTCATGACAATTTTACATATTTTTAAAATTAAAAAATATTAAAGTTTAATTTCAAGGTATAAACTATTTACCACAAAAAAATTTCATTTTTTCAAGTAGGCCAAAACTGCTTATACGTTTGTAATTTCTTAAAAATGTCGTTAAGAAAGACCTAATTTTCAAATCCAGATTTCTCAATGTTTTTTTTTTATTTAATTGCATTGTTTAAAATCGTTTTAAATTATCTATAGTCTAAATAAACATATAATCATTTATTTATACTTTATCGAGTTAAAATTAATTTTAAAATAGCGGATGCCAATGATAGGGACACAAAAATTAATTTGCATCAACTAACGACATAGGCCATAATGTAAAGTAACTTAATCCTCTCAACATACATATCAACGTATTAATGTTTATAAACTGTCATGTGATTTTATAAGAATCAAAATATTTGAGATTAGAAAAAATTGTTAAAAAAAACCTGGTAAAAAATATAGAAAAGCTAGGTTTTAAACGAATTTTAAAATAATATTAATTATTGATAGTTTTGCATAGTTAGTAAAAATGATTATTGTTAATATAAATTTAACTGTAATAAAAGACCTGTGAATAATGGGGTCAATGGTATGTCAATAATCGGCGCTTTGAATTTTTTGCGCTGTCAATAATACATACATATTAAATGCGACCACTTTGGAAATATTTAAAAATAAAATGTATGATTATCTACTTTTTACTGACTTCTAAAAATTGTAAAACTATTAATTATGTTTAAAATTGTATTACTTAAATCTTTAATTAATTTTAAATTTTAAATCTATACCAATCTACGATATTATAACATGTAAAAAATTTAGATCGAAACTTTGTATTATTTGTATATTATACTATTTTTATTTTATATAATCATCACAAATAATGTAAAGTATTGCGGTCGCTAATGACCTAGAAGTTAAAGCGACCTTAAGTTTAAATAAAAAAAAAAAAAATAATTATTAAATTTATTGCTATTTAAGTTAATTAATTAAATTATATAAGTAAAAACAGTGATTAAGGTGTCCTATAAAAAAAAAATAGTTTGACAAATATTGTTTGAAAATCACGATAAAAAAAATTCAAATATTCATGATTACTCTTATAGTCTCAATAATTAAGACTTTTACCTTATTTCTCATAAAGCAATTCTAAAAATTTTTCAGGATCTTCGGAGAACTTAAATAATTTATTTTTGTCGTTATATTAATTATTGTCATCAGGTAGCAGCAATATCTCATGATGTGTTGTTGTATATCTAAATTTATAATTTTTTGAATTAAATATTTTGCAAAAACAAAAGTAATAATAAATTAATTGATTGTGCAAGCAATTATCTTTAAAATTATATGAACAATCTGACCAATAAGTTTGTGGTTTCTTCTGAAAAAGGATGCAGACATACCGAACTTATCATATTAATAATAAATATATATAAAAAAAAAAAATAATTGTTTATGCGCGGAAGGTTCCGGCAAATAAAATTATTATAAATATTAGTGCAATTTGCAAGTGTTCTAGGCCAGACAGCCAATATAGCTTTGTAGCTTCATAATTGTAAATATAGTAAAATTTACAATTAAATAAATATAATGAATATATTGTTGATGACGATGATGATGATATTAGTTAGATACCTGGAAATAGTTCTAGGCCTTGTTGAACAGATGGAATCGTATAACCATTAACTTCATTGCTTTCCTCACCGCGATCACGATTCGTATAATTTGAGGCAAGAAACCGAAGTCTTCTTCGTTTATGTGAAGACGAATCCGAAATTGAAGATAATGATAACTCAATTTCTTTTAAATTTTTAGCTGGCACAGCGTCTGGCGTACTGAACCATGGGCTGCCTGGAGTGCTCTTACTAACTGATTTATCATTATTCATAATTGTATTATTACTGAAAATTCAAATTTTATGCCAAATTATGCGTTTAAATAAACTTGATAGTTTTTTTTTTTTTTCATTAACATTAGCGCATCGACACACTTTCATAAATTAAAAAAAAAATTGAATTCTACTGTGTAAAAATTTTTATAATATAATTCAATGTTTTTCAATTTTTGTTGAAGAAATAAATGATACTAAAATCAGGAGACATCTAATAATTTTTCTTTTATCACAAATTCCCGAGAAAAAATGTTTCTATATAATCATATATAATTGTATATGATCATATATGATTATATATGGAATCACATATATAATTATATAGAATTATATATAATCATATATAATTATATATAATCATATATAATTATATATAATCATACATGATTATATATGGAATTGTGTATGAGGTTATATATAATCATATATAATTATATATGACTATATATGGAGCGATATACAACCATGCAGGATTATATATAGTTCCATATACAAATATATATAAGTATATAAAATTATATATAATCATACATGATTATATATGGAATTGTATATGAGGTTATATATAATCATATACAATTATATATGACTAAATATATTATTAAATTACTTTTTATATTATATTTATGATAAACTCATATGATACATTAAGTAGATCATAGAATCATTATTGTCTAAGACAGCAGCACAGCAGACAGAAACTTCAAGCCGAAGCTTATTCTACTGCAAACACTTGACTAGCAGGGCTAAAATTATATGCCATCAACTACTGATCCGGCCAATCATCACCTACGCCAGCCCAATTTGGTGGAACACCAGCGCATCCTTTATGGAAAAAATCCGAGTCCTGGATCGCAAATGTATTAGGACTTGCCTGAAGGTATACCGCTCTCGTGAGTCCAACTTCAAGAAGCAAATCAGCAATGAAACTTTATACAACATTGCTAACATCCCCCGGATCGACAATTTTATAATTAAGTTAACGCGAGATTACTTTGCGAAACTCTCTTCAATTGAGAATAAAGAAATTAAAAAGATCTTGGAAACACCTGACCAACAGATCTACATCACGAACCACAACTCAGCTTGCCTACCACCACAAGCGTTTATCTACTTTGACAAAAAAGGCATCATACAAGACAGCAACAACGTACCAACAATATATCATTGGGGCAGAAATGTAGCAAACAAAAGAATTAATTTGACAACTGATATGATTGCTAACAATAAATATGATCCAGTTTATTCAATGGCCTTACCAGAACGAGATAAAATGGACTTCTACAGTCTTGATGAAAGATACTGGTGGCTAGAGGACTCCTGTCATCGTATAAAATTAAAATTAAGAAAGCTCAACGGCTGGTCGGCGACGTGGTGAAGTGTTAATATGTATATTTGTATATATGTATAGATTTAAGCTATAATCTTTTTACTTTAATATTTTTATTTTCTTTTTTCACTATTAATTTTTTTTTTTTTTAATAAGCTAAGCGAGGGTTTTTGCAATTTTCCCACCGCTCTTCAACTAACAAGAATATATATCCTAATTGGATACCTCTCAAAACATATTTAATCAACAAAATATTTAGGTTCTAATAATTCAGATCCACATATACAATAGATATGAGTAGCCCCACACACGGAGACTAATATCTTATTAATAAACATAATATAATGGCTAGTTTTTAAGTTGATTTGCAGCCGAATATTTATTGTAAAACCTATGTAATTAAAATAAAGCAAATAAACTTCTTTTAAAAAAAAAAAAAAACAGAAACTTCCAAGACGCACGGAGATCACCAAAGTTAAGCAGCATTGAGTAGGGTTAATAGTTGGATGGGTGACCGCTGGTGTTATAGCCATAAAATTAGATCTAGATATTTTTTTGCATTTCGATCAGTTACACAGAATTGCGTAGGACCATATTAAATACTCTATCCATAAAATTAACCCAATAATTAATTAGATGTAATAAATCTATAATTAAATATTGTTATATATAATTATATATAGTTATATATAATTATACATAATTATATATAATTAGATATGATTATATTTGGCCATTTTTCATATATAATCATATATAACCAATTTATATATAAATATATATAATTATATATAAATATTTTTTCGGGTTGATTGTAAAAAAAAATATATTTTTTTTTTTTTCAAATTTGCACTTGTTTTTTTTTTTAATTTCTAAATGTGGAATTTTTTTATTAAACTTTTTTCATAATAATTTAGTTGTATGACATTAAAATTAGCAGTCTTGACAAATTTTCGATTTTTTTTCAACAAAAAAATTTGTTTTGAAAAAATTACATTTTTAATTTTTTTAAATTTTCATATCAATTTTGTATTTTTGCCTAAATTTATTGATTAAAAAAATTATTAAATTATCTGGTAAATTAATTTTTACTTTAGTTGTTATAAAAGTCCAAAAATCTAACAGCTGTTTATTAATTTTATTATCCTAGAGAAAACTTTTTATTATTTTTAATAATTAAAAAAAAAATTTTTTTAAAGAAATAATAATCAAATGGTACTAAAATTAGCCGGCACTCAACAATTTTATGACATTGAAATTAGCAGTCGTTTGACCATTTTTTAATTTTTTTTAATAAATATATTTGCTCCGAAAAATTATTTCTAAAAAATTGCATTTTTTATTTTTTTTATTTTCTAAACGTCAATTTTTTTTCTCATTTTCTTTGATATAATTTATTTGTTAAAAAAATTCTTAAAATTATAAAATCTGCTAAATTAATTTTCATAACAATTTTTAATTTTTTTTATCAGTTAGATTAAAAGTCAAAATATTCTAAAAAAAATTGCACGTATGATTTTTCAAATCTTCTACACATGAAATTTTATCATAATTTATTCAGTAAAAAAATAAAAATTTTCAGATGTCGGCTAATTTAATTTTTATAATAAAAAAATTATATTTTACAAAACGAAGTGATGTGAAACAAAAATTTGTATTAATTGATCAAAAAATAAATAAGTATAAGATAAAGTTAAAAAATTCTAACCTTTATATAAATAGAAGCAATCAATAGAATAAATATTAATAAATTTTTCTTCTTGCACGATCTATTTTTAGAATATAAAATTTGTGATGTAAATAAATTTATTGACATGATTATAAACAATACTCAACTGTTGAATTAATGTAAGGTTAGCTTCGTGTAAAAATATCGAAATTTTAATCCCGACATTTTGATTCTTGATAAAAATTCCTAGTTCTTTGCTAATTATTATTATTATTATACTTTACACATAAATTAGAATGAAGTAATCTTAGTAAACAACAGCGCACAACTATAATCTCTAATGTAAACAATAAATGTTTAAAAATCGGAACCTCTCGGCTTATTTCGTAAATTTCCGGAAAAAGTCGAAGTTTAATTTTCTTTATTTTTAGATATCAATTTTTTGTCAAAGAAAAACTTTAAAAAAATTTAGAAGAAATATTTTATTAAAAAAATTAAAAAAAAATTGGAAATTTAAAAAAGAAAACGTGAATTTATTATTTAAAAAATTATTTATTGGATGGAAATTATTATCTGAAAAAAGTTACAATTACAAAATGGAAAAATATCTATTCAATTTATTATTATGCTACTATATTAATATGTATTTTGATCATTATAATATTATAATAATATAAAAAATTATTATCAGATTACTATAGTAATCAATATTTATATCAACTATAAAAATTCATTCATTTTTAAATGTCAAATTTTTTTTTCATTTTTTTCTATACAAATTAAAAAAAAATTTTTTTCATCAAAAAAAAATTTTATTCTTTTCAATTTTTTATTTTTTTGTCTTTTTTTTTTTTTATTTTAATTACACTCAATGCCTCATAACAACTAATTTTAATTACATAACAAAGATAGAGCATTTATTTTTTTATTTTCATATGCAAAAAGTTATTTTAAATTGACGAGTTTTTAAAGGTGAAAAAATTCTAGTTTTCTAAAACATGCAAATATTTAAAAATTAATAAAAAAAAAAAAATGTTTGCGTAATTAAATAAATAAAAACAAATATATATTTTAATAAATACTGTCTCGTCAATATAAATTGTTCGAATGCTCTAGTCTTACAATTTACTTATTCAATATTCAATTGAAAAAAATCATGCCTAAGCAGAAAGTATCGCGCGTAATTTAATTAATCAATTGTAATTTCATATTTTTTTTATAAATAATACTATGACTATTTTAACTGGAAATTATATTCGAATATTTGTTAACTTTTGGAATTTTTTTAAAGTACTTAGTACAATATTGTTATTTTTTTCATGTTAATACATAGAAGTATTTTATAAAAATTTTATTTTTAATTGCAGTTACAAAATAATTTTTATAAACTAGTTTTACCTAAAACATTAAAGTAAATTTTTCATACAATTTCTTTTCAAAAATAACAAAGGAAATTTTAATTAAAAAAATTTTAGTTTTACAAAAAAAAGTCTTACCAATTGTTAGATTTTACAACTTAAATTTGTTTAATAAAACAAACTAAAAATTTTATGTCAAGACTTTTTTTGGGATAAAATTTTTTTGCAAGTAAAATTTATTAAATTATTAAAATAACTTTTTATCAAAAAATTCTCACCATTAAAAATATTTGTACCGCATACAATTTTATTTCGTAACTGAACCAAAAAATAAATTTTTTTTTTCATAATCCAAACTCTCTACGTATTATATAAAAAAAATTAGATTCTGTATAATTTAAATTAAAAAATTATTTAAATAAAAATCAATACAGAACTTGAAAGTTTTCTTGTTAATTTAAATCCGAAATAAAAAAATCCATTTTTTTTCACAACTCACAAATTACTTTCATCATTTTTTTACCGAGTATTAATTCCTAAAAAAAAAATACTAAGACAATTTCAATTATTTTTTTTTTCATAAAAAAAAAAAGTAATTAAAGTATCGATGATTACAGTAGCTGACCAGTCTTGGATAAATTAAAAAAAAAAGGCAAAATTCCCTCCAAAGACATCGAGGTTCGTTAGTACAACCATTTAACCACTTAATTAATTAAAAATTAATTATAAAAATTACTCAGCTACCAATAATTAATAATCAAGCGCTTTCAGAATCATCATCATCGTACGCTAATACCTCTGTGGAACGTGGTAAGAGTAATGCAACGTGCGCGTATTTACTGCTTTTGTATTTTTCTTGTATGGCTTGCTGCTCGATATTTGGAGCGTTACTAAATGTGTCGGTTAAGTACTTGATACATTTTTTTAGATCGTTCAAATTGTAGCCTGTTGATAATTCTAATTCATGCGGCCATGCTTCTTCTTGGAGTGTGTGACGTGCAACTGCTACTGCTGAAGACGCAAGGTGACTTGGTAAAAATTGTAAATACGGGTCTGCTTCCAACATTGATAATTCACATAAGTACTGAAAAAAAAAAATTTGTTGTAATTAATTAAATTATGATTACAAATGGAAGTAGATTTTCAGTCGCATAGATTTTCTATTCAAATAACATCACACTGATAATATAAACACTAAGAAAATACATAAATAAATTTATATAATAAATTGTAAAAACTAATGCTAAAGTTAAATTTCATCAGATCAACCGGAAAATGGTATCAGGATTCTTGATACCCCGACAAATTAATCTTTTTAAGATTAATAATGTCGAATAAACACACACAATATCCATGATAAAAGGACAAAACATGGTAACAAGCTTATGTGCTGTATTTATGATAATTAATTCATGATAATTTTTGTAATAGTTGACAAATGTTACCTGATAACTAATATTTAGTTTTTGTAAAGTCGTGCTACGAATATTTGTAATAATAATAATAATAATAATTATAATTATTATTATTATTATTATTATTATTATTATTATTATTATTATTATGAATTTTCGTATTGAAATTTTTAATTTTAATAAAAAAAAAAAATTTAGATTATATTGTGACTCACGGGGTACTGTTCTAACAACCTTAATAAATGTTAAAATAAATATGATAATTTTTTTCAAATTTATTGTTTTGAATTGTTTTATTGAAAAATTAAATCATTTAAGATATTTTGTCTAGGGTTATTTTTTTTTTTAGAATATTTTGTCGGGGTATCAAGAATCATGGAACCCCGGAAAATATTTAATGTTTTTTCAAGTATGTAGATAGATTAACAAAAGCTTATTTTATAAGCTTTCTGATTGAGTTTACAGGAATTTATTTGAATAAGTTATCTTATTCAATAGCTATTGCACGGAGAGACTGTAGAAGTTTAAATTTATTTTAATTTTTTAAAACATAATTGCTGTACTTTGTAAACTATAACCGACTGATTGAGCTCATCTTCGAACTTAACTTTAGAAATCGTCCAAAAAATAAGTAGGGTAGAAGTACCGTTTGTGGCCACTGTACCGTTTATGACCATTTATTGTTTAATTAAACGATAGAAATGAATTCATATCAATACACCATTACAAACTCAATTTGTTTTAATATAAATTTTTTAAAACTCAACAAAAATATGGTTATAATTTTTTATAAATTAATTTAAATGTTAACTGGCTAAAAACGCTACTTCTACTCTATGCTACGTTTTATGGAGATCCGATAAGACTTGTGTAAGTTATAGTAAAGTCAAGGCTGGTTATATCGTATAGAAATACATAGATATATAAACTTTTGAATTGTGGTATTTTTTTAAGCAACTCGATGAGCTGAATCAGGAAATAGCAAAATTTTTAGAATATTGCGTTATGACAAATGCAGTAGTTAACTCTTTATGAAATCTACTAAAAATGAAATTAAATTGAAAATCTTGAGGTACTTCATTAATTTTCAAAATTAATTAATTTATACATAGTTTGGATTCGAAGAAAATTAAAATTAAATGTTTTATCATTTTTTGACTATAAAAAAAATCCGATTTTTTTACCAAATAAAAGTAATGATTATTAAATTGTTAAACAAAATATAGCTTATGTCCTAAAATATTATAATTTGTAAATAGAAGTCATTAAAATAGAATGACCTAGCTGTTAAAAAACGACTTAAAATAAAATAAATAAATAAAATTAATGATTAATTTTGAAAAATTAATGACACCTCAAAATATTATAAAATGAAATTTAGTTTTTCTTAAAAAATATCACGAAATTTCATCTTATTCAGCGAAAGTTGAATTTTATATAAAAATATATTCGAGCTTTTTCTGCGTAAAGTTCAAAAAATTGCCACCAGCATCGCTAATTACTCTTTAAGTGAATAAAATTATTTAATATATGAAATTAATATCCTTTTTACTGAATAATTATATCAAAATTAAGAATTGTACTTAAAATTTTTTTCTCAACAAATAATAATACTAATAATAATTATTATTTTTACATTTTATCAAAACTCAAAATTTAAAAATTTCATATAAAAATTTTTGCTATAAAATTATATCAGTCTTTAAAATAAACAAAATTTTCAAAAAAAAAATATTTCTGAGTCTATTTTAAAATTTTAAAATTATTTTTTGCTAAATTACTACTGGAGTGCTCAAATCATAATATACCCAGTAAATAATTATATAAAATAAGTTTCGATTTTTGATTCATTTACAAAAAATTAATAAAAATATTAAAAATAAATAATTAATCAATAATTAACTCACCATGGCTAGATACAAAATTTTGTCAGACAAATTATTGCTGATACATAAATCCCTAATGAAAGCTAACGGCGTTGGTACAGTTAAATCAAAAGACAGAACCCTGAGTATCAAGTGCTCCATTCTGAGGACCTGTTTTTTTGTATACGTATCATCAGTAATGTAAACAAATTCACCAACATCTGGTGGGTAAATTTCTTCGTATTTTGCAGCAATGAACATGGCTGCTGTACCGACTAATTGGAGTTTAGCACGAACAACCGACATGTAGGATAAAAAACGGTCAATGTAGGACACAGCCAAGTAGAGAGTTTCTGACTGTAAGCGATACTCTTCAGCTACCTCGACCAACCAGTCGACGAGAATTGAACGCATTGCGTAGGTGATGTCGGGTTGTTTTTTCATATAGCCAGGTTTCGGTCGATGGTGAGTCTGAAATTGTAAATAATTAAAATAATTAATCAATTGGTGCCTAATTATCATTAAGAAAATCATTCTAATTTGTAATTTTCAAAGAAAAAAAAATTTTTTTTTACATTTTTTGAAAGTACATATATCTAAAAGTATTATGTTGAAATTTTCAAGTGACCGGACTACTGTAACTATATTATTTTACGATGTTTATAAGGTAAAGTACCCAGTTGTAATACAAAATTCGTATATTTATTATGAGTAATATGTGCATGTTAAAATTATTCAATGATAAAGTAATTGATTTTTGTAAGTTTTTTCAATTATAAATCAAAACAATTATATTTTTATTAACTTAAAAGTTGACATGTCGAGAATAGCCGATACATGCTATTTTTTCATGAACAAGGTACTAAGCGGTAAACCGAACAATCAGTAAAAAAAACGGTATATTATCATTTTAAGTAAAAAAAATTGTACCACCCAATGGAATAGTATTTTCTAAATAATACATATTTTTTGCAAAAACATAAACTAGAATTTTTATATTAAATTTTAGCGTCTAACTATACCTCCAAATTTTCAAAGCGGTACCCAGAACTTGAATAAGCTGGGGCCGTATAATCTTAAACAGCATTCTAATCTCTAATAGGTTTATAGACTAGTGATCTGTATTGTGATTTGTATTAATTACGGCAAATTGAATAAGTTTTATAGTTAAAAATTAGTGTAGTTAAAAATTATTAAACGTTTTGAATTGAGATTAAGGTATTATCCTCGCGACATATAGTGCGAGTAAATTTGGTAGTACCCTCGCGACATATACCCTTTCTCACTTGCTATTCCTTACTCACTTCTACTCATGGTTATTTTTGAATAATACAGTTATTTTTTAATAATATTTAAAAATCTAGATGGTAAAAATCAATGAAAGTTTGAAAAAAAAAAAAAAAAACAAATAATAGCTGTTTTTTAATAGTAGTTTAGTTTTTTATGAAAATCTTAAAAAAAGTTTCTTAGTTATAATAAAATATACGAGTAAAATTTTCGGTATTCCGTATATCACAGTGCATAACCTCCTCTAAAAATTCGAACTTTGAAATTAAATATCTCTGAAACTAGATGGTCAAAAAATTTCAATTTGCGTCAATCGATGCAGAATTATATAAATATTAATCTGCCAAAATTTAAAAAAATTCCTAAGAAAACGCCTCTGGGGAGGGTACTACCTTAAATACAAATATTTCTCATTTTTAAATGAACATATTAAATATTCATAGTATTATTTTTAATATTGTTCAACAAAATGTTATAATTCTTTTGATATTTCAATAAAACATTGAAAATTTTGCTGTGCCTATTGTCATATATTTTATTAGTTCAACTACTACTCTCGGAGTATTCAACTAATGCAGCTTGTCAGAATTGATTGTTCAGCTACTACTCCTTTCATAGTCTATCTTAAAAACGTTGTCAAAATGTAAATATTCGATTATCAGCGTTATTTTGCGCTTCAATCAATTTAAAATTGTTTATATTTTCATAAACATCATGAAAATCACTCAATTAAACTAACAATTATATCTTTATATAATAAAAATAGGGTCAAATACGTTTTACTTAGAAACCTGTTCAACTACTGGGCACTTTACTTTACAACCAAATCTAAATTTTGGTTTTTACTATTTTTTTAGAACTGAACATTGTGAAAAAAAGCCTCATTTTTCAGTTTCTTTTTTTTTTTTAAAAAGACCATTTTGTTATTTATCAATAAATATTAATCTCTGTTTCTAATACAATAACTACTTATATATTGAAGGTAAATAATTTTAGTTTTTGTGTTTTAGATAAGCCATTATCAAGTTGTAAAAAAAAATAAATTTAGATATTTTTTGTATTATTTAAGAGTGTACTTGGTGAGCTGAATAAATTTTATATTAATATCTATAATAGTTTGTGTAAAGAAGTAATTAATATTAAATTTTTTTTCGAGTGCCGAAACCACAATGATTCCTTAATAGTAAAAATTGAACACTCTGCAGGGTGAGCCAAAGACAGAGTTGTGCAGATATGCAAGGGAGTTCGAGAAGCTAGTCAGGAAGACACGAGAATCCGCACAAGCAGGAAAAAAAACGGAAGCTAATGAGGAGAAGAAGCGTCGATAGATTATATAAAAAGTTCTCTATGCATATATATATTGTTATACGACATTATTTTAATTTATTTTATTTATTTTTTAATTCTTTATTAAAAATAATTCTTGTAAAGACGAAAAGGGATGTAAAAGGCCATACAGGCTATACATTATATGAATAAACTACTACTACTACTAATAGTAAAAATTGAAAAAAATTTAAATTTAATTACCTCAGCAATGCGCAAGTAATTGTAAATATCCGCTCGATATTCATCAACATCATAGAAATTATTCTTAAGTGTCTTTACACCATCGCGTTTGTTATTCCTCAATTCTTTTTTAGCTGACTCGATAGACATCATCGAAGCTATTGATTTGTCCAGGGACATCGGGCTGCCTGGATGATGATACTCATCAGTGCGTTTACACAGCTCGATCGTGGGGTCTGGTATCTCCTGGAGAACTGTGCGATACGTTGAGACAATACTGACTGGGTTAACTTCCAATACTGGACGACGTTCATTGTCTTTTATCGAGACTGTTGATGTGCTCGATGACGTTATCTCGGTCACGCGGTTTACTTGCACCTGAGTATCATGATCTCGGAACACCACCGTCTTTTGTTGGTGCTGATGCTGCTTTTCTTCAACTTTTTCTTCGTAGATCTTGAATGGCGCATCGCGCTTATCCTCAAATACTTTGTATTCCAGTTGTGGCGGGATGTAAGCTTTTGCTTTTGTGTATTTGTCATCTTTTGTGATTTCCTGAAAATTCAAATTTTTATTAGTTTTTTTTTTTTTATAAATAAGAATGAATTAATTATATTAATTTAATTAATTGAAAAATATTTTTTTGGTAAATAAAACAATTTTTAAAAATAAAAATTTTTAAGGTTTTGATTTTGTGAATTTGTCATTTTTTTATTTTCTTAAAATTAAAAAATTAATTCGTTTTTTTTTATTAAAAATTTTTTAATTGAATTGATTAAAAAATTTTTTTAGTGATTAATAAAAAAATTAAAATTTTTCTTCAAAATAAATTAATTTCTTTAATTTAGTTAGTTAGAAAAAAATTTTTTTTGATGAAAAAAAAAAACTTTTGAGAGTTGACTTATGAATTTAAAATTAGTTTAATTAAAAAAAAATAAATTATTTTTAGTTTTTTTTTTGCTCTGAAAAATATTAAAAAATCGATGGATTTGAATAAAACATTGTTCATTAAGCTGACTAAAAATATTTTTTATATTTTGATGATGAAATTAGCAAAAATACACAATTTTAATGAAATTTTTCAAGTAAAAATAATTGAATAAAAATTTTATTTTATTTTCAAATTATCTTGAAATTAAATGTTAACGCTTGTATTTTTTCAAGGTAACAACATAATTAATGAGATTTAAAATACTTTTATATTTCATTTATAAAAAGTTAATAAAAATAAAAGTAGCTTCAAGATTAGTTGATTTTTTTCCAATATTTCAAGTAAGTATCAAATTTTCTTGAAAACTAATATAAAAAATTTTTTTTTATCAATTATGAATAAAAATATAAATTTTCATGTAATAAATCAAAGTATTAAGAATTTTCAATTCTAACAATTACTTTTTTTCTGCTTTATTATTATTAACCGATCTTTAATTATTCAAATTTTGAATAAACTCAATTTTAACAGATTAAAATAGTACACTTTTACAATAAGCCGGATTAAAATTAGTATAATTACACTATTGTAATAGTCAGCATCTAATGATAAGTGACTAGTTTTGTTAGAAGTAATTTTCTTACTTATTATATTCTCATTTAAAATATCCAAGAAAAATAATACTGAAATAGACTTCACATAATTGTACTCTAAACTTATAAAAAAAATTTGGAAATTTTTCCCTTAATATTATTTCCATGTAAATTATTTCGCACAAAAATCATAGAACGTCTGCAACTTTCAGCACCATAAAAATAACGGTGCGTTGGTAAAAAAGATCAATTCTTTGCAGGAGATAAAATATCTTGTATCGATTAATTATTCATGATACTAAAATTAGCCGCTGGGAATCATGTGATGTCTGATTATAATTCAATTTTAAACAAGTTATTACTAAATAAATATTTTTCAAAAATAGCATCGTAATTTTTAGAATTTTTTTGCAGTTTGTTTGAAAAATTTTTAAAATTATCAAATATTTTAATTTTTTTTTCTTAATAAATTAACAGAGTATTTCATCTAAAAATTTTGAAAATTTATTTTAAACAATAAAATTTTTCATTAAAAAGGGAAAAAAAAAAAAAAAAAAAAAAAAATTTGTAAATATACAATCCGGATAATTTAATTCTTGATTTTTAAACAAATAAATTGATAAAAAAAATCTATTTACTAAAAATTGTATAAACAATTTTTTAGATATTTCATAGTAGAATTTTTTTTTTTAATTCTAAAAATGATTAAACCTGTTAATTTTAATCTCATATTTTTCTGACACTGAAATTAGTACATCTGAAAATTCTTGAAATTTTTATAACATATCAATGATTATAAGAAAAATATTCCTAAAAATTCACATTTATAATTTTTTTTTAATTCCGACATGTAAAATTTTTTTTCATTATAATTGTTATAAAAATTTTAAAAATTGTTAGATGTCTGTTAAATTCAGTATCATTCTTCTACTTACAATTTTTTTTTTTTTTTTTTTTTTTTTGAGTACACTAAATATTCAAAAAGTCAGCCATTTTCAACTCGAAAATTTTTTCTACAAAATACTGAGAGTTTACAATGAAATCAAAACATCTTTATAAATAAAAAAAAAAATTTTTTAATTTTAGAAAGATTTCTCACTAGAATTAATAAACAAACATGAATGCAATATTCAAAACTAATTTCCAAGAACTAAAATAAAAAAAAAAATAAAAAAAACGGTCAGGTGTTTTGCTTCCAGTAAAACAAGTACTCGACAAAAATTAATGCGTAAATCCTGGAAAATAAAATGGAGTAAATAAAAACACACTTATTACAGCACAGTTTCACATAAACTCAAAGTATCTAGAAAAAAATTGAAAATAAATAAAAAAAAATATAAAATAAATAGCGAAAATATTTATAGGCTAGAAAAGGCGGGCACTTACAGGTTTGTTCCTATGACAGTTGTTATGAAGGACGCCCAAAACAGCACGTTTTTGATGTTGTAACCCCGGCTGACCTTGTTGATTGTGATCCTTGAGTCCTAGACTACTATCTTTATTGCGTTTTGTCTCGGCAATTCGATTTTCTTGGTCCTCGTAAATTCTTATTGTCGCCATTCTCAATAAAATGTGCTAATAAATAAGTGTTGCCGGTAAATGAAAAAGTAAACTCTTGCGCACGCTAGCCAGGACCCAAAAAGAAATTATTTCCAACGGTTACCTACGACGCTACACAAATCGATAATCGAATTGCGAGACAAAATAAACCACGTTGCTGATGAGTTTATTTAAAATAAATATACTAAATAAATTACCGCATGATTGTAAATAAATAATTAAGTTAATTAATTTATAAAATAAAGTAAATTTTGATGAATATTTACGAGCGTTCACGAGTTTTTCTGTTGAGAATTGAGGCTAGGATCTGAACTGATAAAAGACAACCGACCGAATCGCCGGAACGAGGGACCACAACAGCAACAGACTTGGGAGAGTTATCTTCTCTCTCCAGCACACGGTCTCTCCACTCTCTTCAGAAATAAACGGACAACAGCTGTCGTTATGATTCTCACGTCCGACCAATTAAAATGCTTCGCTGCAGAAAATTGAAATTGGCCAATGACAGCCAGGCATTTGTTTCGAGGGAGCGGTTCTCATTGGTTTTCATTCGGTTGATAAAACAGTGGGAATAAAGCGCTTTTTTTACGAGCGGTGAGAATTTAAACTAATTTTTAAGGAGCATTATTTTATTTCACGCGCTTTCCGGTGTGATGAAAAAATGAAAAAATACTGACAGACGCAATTTTTTGATTTTTCTTGAAAAACTTGATAATTTTTTTATTTTATTTAACAAATAAATTATTTTTAAAAAATTGCATTTATGATTTTTGAAAATTTCTACATTTCAATTTTTTTTTCTCATTTTTTTGCCATAATTTATTTGTTAAAAAAATTCTAAAAATTATCAAATATGTCACAATTTCAGTATCATGTTGAGAAAGTGGAGGGCGAAATTATGGAATTCCAAGTTTTAATAGTTGTTTTTAATTTAGAAAGTTAAGTAATTTTTAAAATTCAATTTTTTAAGAAAATGAAATTGAAATTGACGGACAACTGATAATTGTTAAAATTATTTTAATTAAGTTATTTATTATGATAACAAAAATAATGACAATAAAATTAGCTAAAACTATTTTGATATAGTTTTTTGATTTTTTTTTTTCAATATTAAATTAAGCTTAGAAAATTATTTAAAAAAAATTAAATTTACAATTTTTAAGAACATCTAAAAATCAAATTTTTTAAATAAATTTAACGTGTGAATTTCTAAAAGATTAGTTTAATTTTTCTACAATATATTTTTTAGAATGATCTAAAAATCAAGAGACATTTAAAAATGAATTTTGATCAAAACAATATTTATAAAAAATTTTACTCATAGTTTTTTAAATCTTCTAAATGTAAAATTTTTCTTTTTATTTTTGTGTAACCATTAATTAAAACAAGAAATCGCAAAAATTGACAAATGTCTGTGAGTTAACATGAAAGTTTCATTTTCATTTTTTATATAAAACAAATTTTTTTTTTTCAAAAGAACTAAATTATTTTAAATGTTTGCTGATTTCAATATCGGAAGAAAAAAAGCTAAAAGACACATGGCTAGGGTTACAAATTTTTTGATTTTTAGAATTAAGATTGTTGAATTTTTTGTTTGATAAATTAAAAAATATTACCTGATACGATTGTTATCACAATTATTTTTACAGTCGTCAATACGCATCAACGAGTATAAATATTTGACATATTTATGGTTCAAATTATTGACCAAGCTTTTTTCATCATCATTATTGGTCAAATTGTTGATAATGATTGATATAACCAGTGGTTAAAATTGGAATATAATTAACTTGCTTGAAGTAATCGTCGATGAATTCTTCTACAATACAGCATTACAATACTCCCATAACTTCGTTCATTTATTTTCTTCTTTTGACTAGTGCTGTTTGAGGAGTTTAATTTCTTTATTTGGTGGATTAGTCGAACAAGTATTCTCACTTATCAGTGGCTTCAAAACTAATGGCACTCTGGGTAGTGTTTTATATAGGCCTTTGAATTCCTGGAATTAAAAATTGTATTACTAATTTTTTAAGAAATTTATGACAATTTTTCAAGAAGAAATAGAAAAATTTTCTATGATTACTAAAGTAAATGCACAAATTATTGATATTGTAAGAAACATGGCTAAAATTAATATTTTTTTCCATATTTAGAAGAAAGTTGTTGAATTTTTTGAACATTGTTTTGATTAGTCTTTTTATTAGAAAATTCATGTTTTTTCAAAGTAATTTCTTAAATTGAATTATTTATTTCAATTGACAAAGTCAATCACTCGGACACACAAATCATTGACAGCCTGACAAAATCAACTGATCTAATTAGTGAGATATATATAACGTTTTATCAATTATTGACACCCTCAATAACCCAAAGTCATTTATTTGCTGAACTAAATACAATAACTCAATTATTAAAAATATATATTTATTTATTAGTTACTATTCAAATTATTTTTAATATTTTTAAAATAAATCTTTAGGATTAAAATAAAAACAAAAAGTTACTGCACTGTCTAAACTTACTGTCAACATCACCCAGCTTAAATTTCATGTACCAATTATTGACATCCACTATTTTAAATTTAATAATCATTAAATAGATTTCAAGTATCTAATCTAAAAGCTGTTGATTTTTCATTTGTTATTTATTTATAAAAAAAAATGTAATGTAAATAGATGAAAAAAATAATTAAAAATTGACTTTTTCTTCGTTCGGTCGTTTCCAAAACATTCGAGTAAATACTTTTCGTTTTATTAATTTATATTTTATATTTTTTACGACTATTAATTTCAAAAAAAATTTTTAAATAAAATAGAATACTGTCAATAGTATGAGGCTTAAATATTATTCAACTAAAAAATAACAATTCTATTTAATGTAATTTCAAATAAATTCTTTCACATCCAAAGCATCACAAAAAAATGTTGGCTTTTTATGAAAATTAATTTAGACGAAATCTAAAAATTTTTAGAATTTTTTTATTAAATAAATTATGACAAAAAAATTTTTTTAAAAATTTCATTTTTAAAAAACTTTAAAAACTATAAGTGCAATTTTTAAAAAATATTATTTAGTTCTAATTTAATAATTAGAAAAAACTCAAAAAATTATAAATGGCTAATTTTAGTATTATTGACTTTTTGGTAGATTTTATTTATACATAAGTCAAAAATTAATAATTGTCAACTTAAATTCTTTATATTTTTGAATTCATCATATTTTATAAAATCGAATAAGTGCGGATAAGAAAAAACTCTTCTTTACCATTAGGCTAATGACAAATTAACGAATAAAAACTCGAGTACCGGCACATTTAAAATTTTCAATATTGGCTGCAGTGTTTTAATCTGTCAATTGTTGGTATAAGCACATTAGAATAAATAATTATAATAATTGAAATAGTAAATAGTAAAAAAGTTGTTTATTATTAATTTTAATATTATCATCTTCCCGCGTTTAATAAATTCCTTCAAAAAAATTAAATTACCACGACATGTGTGCATCTATATCAGCAGCTCCGGAACCGAAATGAATATTCTGGGGTCCAGCAATAAATTAACATGATTATTTTTACGATAAAATAATGCTGCGGTTGATTGTTGATGACAAAAATTAAATGAAATGTGATCTAATCAGAAACTTCAAGTTAATTGGCTGTAAGTTTATTTACTTATCTATTCATTGCTTGTTATTTTTATTGATTTGCATGTAATGTCAGTAAATAGAGGTTGTGTGCAAAGAATGAGCGGATGCAGTTAAAATAAACAAAAATGTTATGAGTTATGACCAATTGAGGTTATATTTAAGAGATTTTTAATCAGAAAAATTTTTTACTAATTTTTAATAATGAATTTTTTACTTTTTAGGTTTCTTTATTCTTTAGTTGACGCTCCATAGTTTATTTTTGAAAATTATGATTATTGAAACAAAATGTTTTAATGACAAATTTTATGATATTGAAATTGAGACATGTGATAATTATGAAAATTAATTGAGCAAATATTTAATAATTTTAAGAATTTTTTTAACAAATTAATTATGACAAAAAAAATTAGAAAAAAAAATTGACGTAGAAATTTTAAAAAATAAAAAATGCAATTTTTTAAATATAATTTTTCAAAACAAATTTATTTATTAAAAAAATTTTTTTTTAATTCTAAGTGACTGGTAACTTTAATGTCATGTGATAATTTTTAGAATTTTTTAACAAATAAATTATAGTAAGAAAAATTTTTAATGAAAATTAAAAAAATTCCATCTTCAAAAAAGTATAAATGCAATTTTTTAAAAATAAATTTCTAGACTTAGTTTATTCTTAAAGAAAAATTAAAAAGTTGTCAAGTGTCTGCTAAATTCAGTATCATAAATTTTTTTTTTAATTTATAAAATTTTACTACAGCAAAATTTTTCAAAAATTTAGTGCTGACATAATTGTGATTAATATATTCAAGTATTCAGAAATTGAAAATAACAAATTTAAAAACGTGACTTGTTACAAAAATATTAAACTGAGTAAACATATTTTCATAAGTAACGACAACAGTTAAAAACGATCAAATAATTAGATCAAGAAATTAATTTAAACTCGGCATAAAAAACAAATGCTTTTCTAACCAAAGTTGTTAAGAAAATAGACCCTCGTAAACTGGTTTGATGAACTGGCAGTCATTTTTTCAATTTTTTAATTAATTTGAATTCATTAAAAATTTACATGATAGTTATTCTGATTACAGATAATTAAATATATTTAAAAATAATTTTAGGTGTCAATATTTAGACCCCCGTCAATAGTTGGTGCTTTTACCTTACATTTGGAACTATACGGTAAAACAAAGTTTTCTAATCAGCCGTAGCCAGCTTATTAAATTGAAGATAAATTCTCATTTTATTATTTTTAATAATTATATAAAACATTTTTTGTGACCCTGGACTAGGATCGTAGTTCAGAGCATATAACTTTTGTACAAATTGTCCAAGATCTTTGATCTCAATATTTTAACAATTTATAGTAATTATTATAACACAGTCGTTATTTTAGAGGCAATTTCTGAAAACTTGAAGACACATATTTAATCAGTAAAATAAGGAAAATTATTTTTATCATAAGTAATGACATTTACAGCTAGTCGATAAGGTAAATTTTGGCGCGATCTTAAAGAAACTCAAGATTTGGGTGATGGAAAAAATAAATGTGTAAATGATACATTTACCGCTGCAATTATAGAGTGAATTAATTGCATTCTAATCAGCTGCAGTCAGCTTAATCTTGTAGATAAATTCTCATTCTATTATTTTTAATAATTATTTAAAACATTGACATAACACTATTATAATAAAATCCAGGGACAAATCATGTGTTTGATTGTATCGTTTCAGAGCTCATCACATCTTGGATTTAAAATATATTTTAATCACATTTATTTAATATAAATTTATCTGTTTATATTCGTTAATAATTTCCAAATAAAAAACTAACCCTCAGACGAATTTTCTTGAACAATTAAATGCGAAGATAAAAATGAAAGTTCATTTGATGGCGGGTAGAGTCTTCTGCTTTCCGTAATTCATTCAAAAAATCTTTTGTCGGAGCATGATGCCGGGATAACTTCACTTGTGATTGGTTGTAAAGGACAAAACATTATTTTATTGATACATATTGATGGATAGGTCACGTTTTGATTGAACAAAATATTTAAATGTAATCTCCTCGGAAATAACATTCTTTAAGTGTATATTCATGGACGAAAAGAAGCGATTCAAAGACTAGAAACTGCCGAGATAGAAATCAAATTTTTCTTTTTTTAGTGACAAATCACGCTTTGATTGTAAACTTCTCTCTTATTTTTAGAATTAGGAATTTATAATACTTATACTAATCAGAATTTACAAAATCAAAGTATCTGTTGAAGACACATGCTAAAATATACATGCTCAGGGTTTTAAGGCCGTAGAAAGTTTTTTTCTTTAAATTCGCATAGCCCACAGAAATTAGTCAGTTTTACCCAGTTTGGCTGTGCAAACTGGAAGTTGATCGAAAAATTTAAATTTCTTGAAATTTCAAATCCAAGTAGGTTAATATGAAATTCTAACAAGTATCTAATGGCGGTCTCAATTTGTTAATAAATTATAGGCAAACAAAAAAAACGTAAATTAAAAATTAAATATCTCTGAAACTATTAATCTGGCGGGTTAAGTTTTCACATAGAATTTGTAGAGCATAAAAAAATCTACAACTTTGTTTTCGGGTAAATTTCTGTAAGACTTATAGTTTATTAGTTATTAACAATCGAAGTTTCATAAACAAATTGAGCTAGCAAGCTGAAAAATCAACCGATTTCATTTTTGATTTTTTCCACATATTTCTGGTAATAAAAGGAACATTTTTAATATTTTTCAAAATATTTATCTCAAAAATTTGATTTTTAAAAATCAAAAAACCGCTTTTTTTTTGGAAGCCAATATCTCCGAAATAAATTTACTACAGCACTCGCAACTACTTTAAAAAATCTAGAATTTAATATTTTTAGCGGTTACCGTCTCTTTTTTCTCATGCAAAAATCTTTCGCTACAAAAATTCTCAGCAATAATTTCTTGCTCAATATTTTTTTTATTTAATTATTATTAATTTTATTATTATAAAAATTGATATTATTTATAAATGAATGAATAATGAGGTAAGAACAATTGTACCGTGCTTGGGGAGCCGGTATCAGTTGGGCACTACTGTTGAGTTCCCCCTCTACCATTAGTCTGGGTAGTGAACGCGCTCGCTTTATCGAAAATCCGCTCGCGTTCAACTCGCTATTATTTGACCCCAATCAAAAATTAATTTTTTTCAAAATAGCCAAGTTTTTCGTAATTAAATTATAGATTTTTTAAAGTAGGTGCGAGTGCTGTAGTAAATTTAGTTTTGGAGATATTGGCTTCCAAAAAAAAAGCGGTTTTTTGATTTTTAAAAATCAAATTTTTGAGATAAATATTTTGAAAAATATTAAAAATGTTCCTTTTATTACCAGAAATATGTGGAAAAAATCAAAAATGAAATCGGTTGATTTTTCAGCTTGCTAGCTCAATTTGTTTATGAAACTTCGATTGTTAATAACTAATAAACTATAAGTCTGACAGAAATTTACCCGAAAACAAAGTTGTAGATTTTTTTATGCTCTACAAATTCTATCTGAAAACTTAACCCGCCAGATTAATAGTTTCAGAGATATTTAATTTTTAATTTACGTTTTTTTTGTTTGCCTATTATTTATTAACAAATTGAGACCGCCATTAGATACTTGTTAGAATTTCATATTAACCTACTTGGATTTGAAATTTCAAGAAATTTAAATTTTTCGATCAACTTCCAGTTTGCACAGCCAATTTGGCTAATTTCTGTGGGCTAGCAGCTGTATTTAAAGATGAAACTTTTTTTCTTACCGAAATTTTAAACAAAATTTAGTTTTTACCCACTAAAAGTACGAACTTGTTCAAAAATAAAAATTTCCAAAAATCGGCTTTTAACTGAAAAAAAAATCAATTGATTGTAAGCTTTTTAAATAAGTAATAACAGCTAGAAATGATACAATTCAAATTTGCTCTCAATTAATTTTTTTATTAAAAATAATATGTCTTATAATATTCCACGTTTTTCTCATTATAATTTGTAGCATAACAGTTTTCAAGAATCATCTACGAATTTATAAACATAAACCAACTCTTAAGTAAAAATGTAAAAATTGACTTATTTTAAATTATTAATAACTTATTTAAAACTTAATTAAGATGAATTTACATGAACAATTAAATTCGAAGATTTTTGAATCAAGTAAATAATTTTGAAGAACTTCATGTTTTTGATTTGAGTAGAAAAATTTTTAAACTAGGAACTTTTTCTTGGTTTGAGTAAATTTTACTTAATTAAAGAATTTTTCCTCTTGATTCAGGACAATGAAACTTTTCAAAATTATTTTCTTGGTTCAAGAATTTTTCACTTGATTCAAGCCAATTTTTTTTTCTGTACCGGATTACCTCACTTTTGATTGGTTGTAAAGGACAAAAACATTATTTTATTGATACATATTGATGGATAAGTCCCGTTTTAATTGAACAAAATATTTTAAATGTAATTTCCTTGGAAATAACGTTTTTTTTAAATGTATATTAGTAGACGAAAAGAAGCGATTGAAAGACAAGAAATCGTGGAAAGAAAAAATATTATATTTATTCTGACAAATCACGCTTTAATTGTAAGCTCCTCAATTATTTCTTCTTTCAATAAATTAAAAAAAATTATTAAACAAAGTTCTTCAAATTTTCTACCAATAATTTCAAGCTGCTGCTAATTTAAATTCCAAGTAATAAAAAATATCATCAGGCAATGGAAACTTGGAACCGGTCTCCTTTGAAGAAATAAAATCATTTTCAAAGTTGCTGCCAATGATATGATCGATTAGTTCTTGATTAACAAATTCAGCCATAACAATAATCAGTGATCGATGCGGATTATCAAAATTAATTGTCATGCGATAGTTGATCGGCGTTTCACAGCCATATACATCTGAGTAATAGCCTTCAATTGCAATCTTTTTAGCTTCAGTAGCTTTTGGAGCCGACATAAATTCGACAAAACATTTACCACTATCATTCAAAAAGCTTTCTTCTTGTAAATTTTTAATACTGATCCACTTATCATGAATGTCTGATTCGCTTCCACCAGGTATTAGTGAGTACTGCACTTTACAATACGTATTGATGTTTGTAATGCAGCTTGAAAATGATTGATCTAAACTAGTGAGTAGAATTTTTCCACGATGTTCTCCAATGGTGTCATTTAGCGACCAATTGGTTGAAATTCTCAATCCGATTTTAAGATTGCGGTAAAACTCCAATATTCCGCAATTACATAGTGTTACATCGTTAGCTGCGTAATACTCGTTGTGTAAAAACATAATTACAAGTTCTCTTGGATTAGCTTCTAAAAAGTCATCAACCTCTTTTAAGATACCGTTTCCAAACATTAGATTCAAATACTTCTCTTCATTATGCACTGCAAAATGATTTGACGTTGGCCGAACACCAATATCTAAAACGCGTATTCCATGATTCAGTTGTTCCTTTATGTTCAAGTCTTGTATTTTAAAACGTGGCATATACGTATTATACGATGCTGAGTAACACGTGCCAATAAGTGCCAGGTCACTAATTGTTAATGAATTTGACAAATGCGATATAAATTTTCGGCGGTCTTCGAAGTTTTTGTACTGATATTTTGAACATGAGTACATACATGTTTGCACTTCTAAGGTCGAAAAAAGTAAAATCATCAAGCTTAATGACATTCTTGCTTTTGACTTTGATAAATGATTACTGATTTTTTGTTGAAAATTATTGAATCAAGTACTACCGGATTTTTTTTTAATGCCATTAAAAGTGAATTAATGTTCAATGATAACGATGTCATTAACACTAACTTGCAGCTGAGTCTAATTATTGTTGTATAAAGTTTGAAATATTTCTTTGATATGTAAAAAAAAAATTCGTTGAATATAAATAAAATTAAGGAACAATCGAAACATAATTCATTAAAAAATAAAAAAATTTGATTTATGTTTCGGCGGTTTCTAGTCTTTGAAACAATACATGAAGTCATGTCAGGCAATTGTATTCACTTAAGCATTCAAACTCAAGTCAAAATTAAACGATAATCATGAAAGAAAAATAAAAATATGTCTAATAGAGTATTTACTTAGGTAATAATTAAAGTAAGAAATAAAGTCTAAAACCATAACACTTCGGAAAAAAACGAATCAATTCAAATGATTCCAAATGCGCACACTTACTCCGTACTGCAGGTTAGCAGTGTACGGACTCGTGAAGAGTAAATATAAACTCAAAGATTTTTTATGAAGCTTAAAAAACTGCGTCGAATGCCACCGGCTTAGCTGATTGACCCAGTTAATTACATTATCTAGGCTAAAGGCGTAACAATTTCATTACGATTCTCACAAAAATTACGGGATCAAAAAAAATTTTTTGGTAATTTTTGACAAGCTATATCTCAGTGAAAAATGAGCGTAGAGACTTAAAAAAAAAAAACAAGCAACACAAAAACTGTTAAATTTATGGAGCAATCCTTAGAGCCCCAAACCCTTTTTTTTGAGAATTGTAATATAATTGTATAACATTAATTCATTATTAAATTTTGAATTTAATCTCTATGAAGTTTTCTATATTAATGAATTAAACTAATTTTATTAGTCGGTTAAGCACATGTACCTAAAGTTCTGATCGTTTTTTTGTGAACGAAAATAAAAAAAAAATGTTTTTGCTTCTGAAACTGAAAATGATTTTGCAGCTCCAAATAAAGACAAATAGCTCTAAAAATGATATATCAACTCCTCCAAAAATCGAAACTACCCTTACAACCACCCCAAAGACTCATAAATGAAAAAAAAATTCTAAAAAAATCCTTACGAGGATCCTTAAAAGCTGCCGATTTTTTGGAGTAGTCCTAGAATACTCCCACAAAATAAGACAAATCATCAGGCGCCTAACTCTCCCGGAACCACCTCACCAGCCACCCCAAAGACTTATAAATAAAAAAAAATTTCTGAAAAAATCGTTACGAGGGCCCTTGGAAGCTGCCGATTTTTTAAAATACTCTTTGAACACTCCGACAAAAAATAAAAAATCATCAGGCAAATATCTCCCCCGAAACTACCCTTCCAGCCACCCCAAAGATTTAGACGTTTTTTTAAAAAAATTCAGAAAAAATCCTTACGAGGGTCCTTGGAAGCTGCCGATTTTTTAAAATACTCCCTGAACACCCAGACAAATTATAAAAAATCATTAGATCAAACTAATTTTATGAGCCGGTTAAGCTGTTAGCTCAAAAGTTAGAGCCTCAATCAATACATTGATGAAAAAAAAATAATTGATTAAGAAAACAGTTAATGATTAAAAAA